GCAAAGCGCGAGGCTTTCATATAGAATCCTTGCTGTCGTGAGACATCCAGAGTGCTGTCAGGACTTGTGTGTTCTCATCCACAGTGTGCACTTTGGTGGGCACTCTCAGCTTTCAGTGCTTCAACTGTTTTACTGTGTGAGAGTCGGTGTGTCTAATCATGACTACTGTAGCTTCAGTCAAAGAAAAATAAAACAAACATGCCGAGTTGTTAATCTAGATATAACTGTGTGCTGACTAAGCAAATCATTAGAGTCATTGTAGGACATTCCACTGTGTGTGTGTGTGTGTGTGTGTGTGTGTGTGTGTGTGTGTGTGTGTGTGTGAGAGAGAGAGAGAGAGAGAGAGAGAGAGTATTCATATTCGTATCTATGGTTCATTGGTCATTTCTACTGTAGGACGGAAGCAAAGTGCCACGTCAAAACTGTTAAAAGTATCACTTTATTTATATTTTCATGTTTTGTATGACCTGCTGTATAAATATTGTATAATATTATTGACTGGGCTGCGTTAGGAATCACGTGGCTGCACTAAGAAACGCATGGAAAAATGTGCCGTTTTCCTGAGATTGATTGTTTGATTGATTGATTGATTGGTGCATGCCTGTTATTTTTTATGAATAAACAAAACACGTGAAACAATGGGACCCTGGTGTTCACTGAGTTATTCACTGCTGACATGAAAGGGGGGAAGGCAGCTGTTAGATCAGAAGCAGGTGCATGAATATGCGGTGGAGGGAGAGGGAGGGCCTCACACCTGCTGTAGGTATTTGTTGTGGTTTCTCTTGTTAGAGCCAAAAAGGAAAATAAGTTGGTCTTATTTTCGTTTGAAAATGAAACCATAATAACAAAAATTACCAAAGTCAAAAGATATATAGTTATAGAAAATATTTACAATCAAAGGTTATGTTCAGTCTGGTGCCTTCAGGCTCTTTGGACGATGTCGCGTTTAGTGCGACACGTTTATCCAAACTTATAAATATTAGCGAGTATTAACTTAGTAAAATGGCAAAATAGAAGTCAGCCATCGTTAATAAATGTTACATATGAAATGCTTTTGTGATGATGGTGCTTATTCGTATTATTTTCCATTTACTTTATTTATTGTACTCAGTCCAAATGGAAGAAAATACCTCCGCAGCGGTGAGGAGTTTGTCATGTAACAACATAACGTCTCACATTACATTGCAAACAAATGTGCCAGGCCTCACAGACAGACTTCAACCCTAATCAAGAAGGGTTTTATTTTCCACCCACAAGAAAGTATCAAAATAAAAGACCTTTTTAAAAAGCCTACTTTTCTGTACTTATTTTATTTGTAATAGCCATCTTAAGTTTCCCATAAACGAGCAACACGGCTCAATGAAACAACGTTTAAAATAATCTACTGGTATTATTTACACTGCATAAAAGTTCAGCAAACAAACAAATCCATAAATAACTAAACCGAACAACAGAAGGAGAATTATCCTTTTTATTTATTTATTTATTTATTTATTTATTTTTCTTCAATTAATTGTTTTGTTCCATCTACAAAAGGCCATTTATGATTTATGTTCTGTGACCACATTGAGATTTACACGCATATCATGATCTTTAAAACACGCGGGCTGTTTGTTGTCCGTGTCCCCATGCAGGAGCCTATACTTGCTCTCCTCAGTCCTGAAACGGACCCTGAGACTCGGGGCCGCGGGTTTCCTAACGAGGTGTTGATCACAAAAAAACAAAAAAAAATCACGCGTGAGCTCAGACAAAATAATTGATCAGTGCGTCGACGCTTTTAGCCCAAACTCAGTAAAAGTGTCTCAAATTAAGCTGTAATAATAATTTTTGTTTTCTTGATTAGCACCAGTTGTTCAGAAATAAAAATCCAACTGATTTATTTTTTTCTCTCACTCTGTCATTCTAGGTTTATCTGTTTGTTGTACCATCAAATACAAAACAGAAAGTTTCGGTTTTCGGTTTACACACTCTGCTGTGTTTAACTGTAGCTCTAAGTAAAGATACACAGTTCTGACACAAAGCCTGGTGACACATTTCACAATATAAGAGTTCCTAGTGTCAGTGATTTATTGAAGACTGTAGTGCACTAAACTTTCTTTAGATAGCAAAACTGCAACATTTCATTGTGGGGTAGAAAAAACAACATAGTAGATCAATTCTATTTTAGAGATGTTCAGGGCAACCAAATTATAAAGTGATAAGAGTTTTGGAATTTCTTAAATGTAAGTTACTTTGACTGTACTCAAGAAAAAAACCTGAATATCTCACGTAGCTATTTTTGTTACGTGCATCTTGAGGAATAAACGAACTAACAAACAAATAAATACAACATAAATAAAATGAAATATTTTATATAGTTAAGTGTATAGTCTAAGTTAGCCGTGCAGTAGCTCATATGCTCGTGGCCCCTGTACTGAGCTGGCAGTACGGGGGCAGGTGTGTGTTTACAGGGCTCACTCAGCAGGTGACAGGTGAGATTCGTTCCTGTTTCTATGGACAATGCTGCAACCTGCAGGTGAAACACCGGAACAGCACACCTGTCGCTCTCAGAGCCTGTCACGTGGCCCCAGTCATCTCAGCACCCTTACATTTTTAATAACTTCGGCACCAAGGCGCATACCTTAGGCTGAAAACGCTCTCTGCTTTTTCACTTCAGCCTTCGTCTCTTCTCTGCACCCATCACGCATTCTGTAGGGAGAACTGTGGAGTGGGGGGAAGGGGGGGGGGGGTGCCGCGGTGTTATGAAACAAAACTATAAGGCAGGCACAATGTTAGGAAGTCCAAACAGTCTGTCACTCGGGCAAACTGAACCGCGCCTGACCTCCTAGAGTCCCGGAGAGCCAGCTCCAAAGCTCCCGGCACCGCCACAGGAAACGCAGGCGGAGAGGCAGGAGAAAAGCCGAGCAGCCAAAAGAATATTAGATTACCTTTAAAAGAGAGAGAGAGACCTGAAATCTGTATTTGTTATTGTTTCACTTGATGAATATTGTTTACTTCAGGCCTGTTGCACAAACAAGGAGCATACAAAACAACTAAGACAGAGCTAACTGTTACACACGTGAACACTGCCTTTGCGTGACATTCGGAAATAAGCTTTCTTTTTAAAGCTGTTCGGTTATATTAGTTAACAAATAAAATCAGTAATGAAAGTGCAAAATGTTCGTCCAAAATAATACATTTTTCTAAATTGTGTTGAGAAGCAGGATAGTTGATTTTATCCTTTAATAAAGAAAGAAAGAAAACAAAAAGAAAAAAGGAGGCCTGTAAGTTACCTGAGGTCAGAGCAGGCCCGTTTCTTAACCCTGTCTGATATTTTCTGTGGGATAATCATATATCTTCGTCCAAACATGCAAACAAACACACGGCCTTATTATGTCCGCAGTGACTTCATATCAGCCTCCAGTCGTGGCCGTGCTACAAAAACAGAAACACATCTCGTTTGTGCGCTGGCAGCTGATAGCTTTATATTCCAGAAGACCAAATTAGAAGCTCTATAAGATCAACGCGTAAAAAAGCAACCGGATCGCTGTCTTCAAAGCGCTCCCAGAACAAAGATTCCCTCTCCAAGCAAAAGCATCCTGATCTCGGCAGGGGTCATAAGTTTTGATGTCGCAGGAAATTTCTGGGGCCGTTTAGGTCCTCGAAACTGCAGTGGAAAACGATTTTATCCGCACATCCTTTGTTCTGCAAAGTGCAAAGGTTAGTGTGTCTGGTTATTGTTTGCTTATATCCTCCAGGCTATATCTAAACTTTAAAGGGCCCTTAGGCACACACGTGCACAGACGCACTTGAGCGGGAAATTAAAAAAAGGCGAAAACATGGATATTTATAAGTTTGATTGCGTGGGGCTTTACTTTTCTCCCTTTGTGCGAGGTTCTGTGGAAATGAGGGGAGTAGTTGAAGTCGGCTGAAATTTACACTGAAATATTACAAATACGTGACTGAAAAAAATTAGAAAGGGGGGAGATTTACAATCATACAATTCAACCTAAAAGCTCCAGAAGTAAAACCTTTTTCTTTTTTTTTGTTCTTCAAAGCCCAATATTCTCCGCTCTGTCGCAGCACGGATGTTGATATTACCTTTATGGGATATATAACTCCATCATGTTGGACAAATCTGTGTGTGATGTCTCCATAGGGGAGGAAACTGTCGACGCCCGCTCGCCTAATTTCGCTTTTCTCTGTCTAATGAACGTGGGGCCCATGGGACCGACTCTGGCCCGGGGCGGTAAGCTGACACTGGCGCGCTGTGTGTGGTATCCAGGGCCGGGCTTGATGGAAAAAGCCTGCTTCCACTCATGTCAAAGTCATTTACTCAGAGCAACCCCCCGCTTACACACACGCACGGTAAAGACCACCACCTCTCCATCTCTCACACTCCTCTCCCCAGCCCGGCACCGCGACAGTTTGTTTTTGTTATCCTCTGGACCAGTTTGGGAGGAAATTATGAGCGAAATAATACAAATAACGCAATGTGGCCTTTTTTTCTGTCGGTGTTTCACACTGATGTGCTTGGGTATTATCTGCCGGGGGACATCATGTAAGGGCCCGTGTGAATGTTTTGGGCATCGCGGTTTCAGATGCAAGCTGGACATTTTGCACATATTGCGGTGGTTTATTCTTGTCAGAGGAAATTTATGCTCTGTGGCACATTGGGACGAAATCACTGCTTCATATATGGAGGAGCAGAGGCGGGGGGATAGCTCGTTTTTAAACTTGTGCGGCTGGCGTGTGGCGTTGTTGATTGGAGTGTCTGGGGGAGGTTTGATAGATGGCTTAATTGCGTGTAGTCCGAACTTGGAGAGAGGTGGTGGGAGGGGAAGAAACAAGACGAAGGAGAGGAGAGAATGAGAGGCTTTAAGGCTGCTGCACGGTAAATGGACTTGGCATGGGGGCGGGTGAGGGGTGGTGTGTAGTGTGTGTTGGGGGGAGGGGACTATTCGACACTGATTTCAGGGAGAATTGCAGGGGCAGAGTGCGGATGAGGAGAAAGGGTCGGGGGAAGAGGCGGGGGGCTCGAGCAGAGGGAAGAAAGATTTATGCAATGATAGGTGGTCGGATTTTGTTTGGCTGGACTGTTGCGCGCAATAAGTCCAAGGGTTTTCGTGTTTCCTGCACTTGAGGGATTATTATAGGCGGTCGATGGCCACCCGGCGCGTCACACAGCGCCACTTAGCGCTGCTGTGACACCCCGTGGAGTCCTTATGTCTAGCTACAACTCTGGACACTTAGTCTCCAGTGGATAACCGCCTCCCCCCACTCTCTCTTCCTCTTCCTCTCTGTCAGTGCGTACCAGCCGTGCGTTCTGCATGCGTCAAAGGAGCACCGTGCGTAACAGGAGAGTCGTGCGTAACTGGAGACAGATTTCACTCCATTTTGCGCTGGGATTCTGAGGACCACTGGCGGTGTAACGCTCACTTGCAAGGACACTGACCGCTGGGAGCCAGCACATTTCTCCCCCGAAACACCTCCAGGTCGTCTTTTCTCCCTCCCCTCTCTTCTCTCTACGCCAGTTGTACGTCAGAGCTGACATGACGACCGAGACCCCTCAGCAGCAGCTGGAACCTCCGCCTCCTCTGAGATCCAGCCCGGCGTCCGGCGTCCTGCATCCCGCTATGCTGAGCCCACAAGCCGCCACAGAAAGTTCTTCTAATGGCGTCAAGGGAAAGAAGACGAGCTCCGGTTTAAGGCGACCGGAAAAGCCGCCGTACTCCTACATCGCTCTCATCGTTATGGCAATACAGAGCTCGCCCACCAAGCGGCTGACACTCAGTGAAATCTATCAGTTTCTCCAGGCTCGCTTCCCATTCTTCAGGGGTTCGTACCAGGGCTGGAAGAACTCTGTCCGGCATAATCTATCGCTTAACGAGTGCTTCATCAAGCTGCCAAAAGGGCTGGGCAGGCCGGGGAAAGGCCACTACTGGACGATCGATCCAGGCAGTGAGTTCATGTTCGAGGAAGGCTCATTTCGGCGCAGACCCAGAGGCTTCAGAAGAAAATGTCAAGCTCTGAAGCCCATGTATCGGATGATGAATGGCATAGGCTTCGGCACCTCAATTCTTCCACAGAGTTTTGATTTCCAGGGTCCATCGGCCACCCTCGCTTGTCACAGTAACAGCTACAACTTGGACATGATGAGCAATTCAATGGCCGGGGGGTACGACGGGCTGAGCGGCGGGCACCACGTACCTCACATGTCCCCGAGTCCCGGCTCCACATACATGGCGAGTTGTCCTGTGCCTCCTAACGGGGAATATGGGCAGGATAGCAGCAGCAGTCCTGTACCGTCCTCTCCAGCCATGGCCAGCGCGCTGGACGGCCATTCCCCGTACGCCAGTACATCCGCACACTGGGCGTCCTCCGGCGGCTCCCCCTACATCAAACAACAGCCTCTAGCCTCCAGCAGCCCAGCATCCTCTGGTTTACACTCCGGCATGTCGCCTTACTCCCTGGAGCAGAGTTATCTTCACCAGAATGGCAGGGACAGCCACTCCACTGATATTTCAGGTACCACAGAATAACTCGAGGCTTACAGAGGGGTAGATGAATCCGGATTAAAATCTCTGGGATCCCCTCCCCTCCCCCCTCCCCCCAAAAAAACAATAATAATAATAACAATTTTCACTGCATCTAAGTTTTATCTGCATGATATAAGCACATTTAAAGCGCAACACTCTAAATGAGTGGGTTTTTCTTCTGCAGAGGCCCGTGTGACAACTGTAACGTGTAATTATGAAATTGTAGACTACACAGAAAATTATATATAATATATTATATAGTTATATATATATATATATTAATATATATAATATATAATATATATAATAATATATATATATAATAATATTTCGATTGTCCTGTATTTAAAGATGAAAGATTCTTAAAGGGAAATTCATATCTGTGCAAAGCGATTAAAAACACACACACAGAGAATTTACCATTATTCTTTTTAATCTGTTTGCAGACTTTTTTTTTCCCGCATCATTTGCCTCAAAATGTAACCCGAACACACTAGTTGCAAAATAAGAACAAATGTTTTCATTAATTTTGTTAAACAGCAAAGATGCATCGATTATTGGCTGAATCACAAAGCCAGACAGCGCTTTGTGGTATTTTAGTAAATATAGTGACATTTCTTGCTGTGTATGTAACTTCATTAACAATCAGAAAATGCGTCATTTCATCCACAGTTTGTATAATTTCCATAAAGTCACATGTTTATAACATGTCACGGGATATTTCGGCGAATTATTAGATTAAGAAAAACAACTATTTTGCGCTCTCAAGTCACCTCCCAGTTCAACCTCATTTACTTTAGCAGAACACAGCCAGGCTTTACGAAAATCTGGGGATCTAACCGAGGCGAGTAAAACCCATGCTGGAGCCCGAAAGGGGTCCCAGAGGTTAACCAAACAAAGACTGTGCAGGTCGGACCACACTGGCGGTGGATTTCAACCACGGCGTATCCACAAGAGACGGAAGGCCTTGTTAAACTTTACGCAGCGTTCTAATTGAGCCTGCTCGGAGGATAGACGTGCTGGACTGTACACAGCAGACTCGCTAACAGTACTGTCAGTCAAAGAGGCGTGTGTGTGTGTGTGTGTGTGTGTGTGTGTGTGTGCGTGTGTGTGGGTGTGTGTGTGCGTGTGTGTTGTGTGTGTGTGTGTGTGTGTGTGTGTGTGTGTGTGTGTGTGCTGTCTATGAAAACGGGCGCAGGGCAGCGAGCTGTGGCCCGGAGGATAAAGCCTGCTGTCTTCCCCCCTGAAAAACACGATCACATCTGGAGTCCTTATGACCTTGACGGAGCCGCAGTCTCCACTTTTAGTTTTCTGTTTCTGGAAACAGAGCCTCGCTCACAGACACAGACGATGGCCACTGAATCTGCCTGAAATAACGCAGCATTTTCAAAAAATAATGATAAAATGTAACTGGGTAGAAAACTGAAAGCATCCATATAAGAAAGCTAAAGGAGCCAAAGAAACTGAAAAGAACGGATGTGTGGCTGCGCTGTGAGCCAACAGGGAGGCTTGCAAAAAGAAAAATATTATGATTAAAGAATTCGTTTTTTTTAACTTGTGTTAAGAAATATTAGATTTTTATGGCAACTGAAAATTTAAGCGTAAACACTTTATTTTTATAAATACAATAGAAGGACCGTTTACGCCATCAACAATTGTGCTGATTAGCCACACAAAAGTATCAACAGCACTGTTTAAAAGAGGAATGGCTCATGTTCTGCATTCAAAAGTTCTAATTTAAAAATGTAGAATCAAAGTAAATACTGATTTTAGATATATGAAAAGAGCGTATGTTTTATTTCGATGAGATTAAATAAGACAGCAAGTTCAGCTATTGTGTTTTTTCCTTTCTTTTAGAATATTTTAATGCCACCGTTAATTTCCTGACAGTGATCAGAAATGTGTTCCTTTATTTCAAAACCTTTCCTCTCTGCCTCTCCACAGTGGGGATTCCGCGCTATCAGAGCCATTCCTCGGTCTGCGACAGGAAAGATTTTGTGTTGAACTTTAACGGCATCTCCTCCTTCCACCCCTCGGCCGGCGGATCCTACTATCACCACCACCACCACCACCACCCCCAGAGCGTCTGTCAGGACATCAAACCCTGCGTGATGTGAGCTCTCCTGTCACTGCGGACTTCAAAACAAGAGAGGCATCACAGCCACATCTGAACAAACACGCAGATCTTCTTTTTTTTTTTTGGTCTATTTGTCTTTTTTGTAATTTTTGAAGGATTCGTGCTAGCATGGATGGTGGAGTCCGCACTCACATGTTTGCCTCCTATGCAGCCAAATATCTTTATTATTGTTAATTCTGCTGGACTTGAACTATGCATTGAAGAAAACATGAATGAAGAAACTCCAGAGGCCTTTAGAAGTACCACTTCGCCTATATGAACCCTGACAAGCTTTCTTCTTCAAGAGAAGTTTCAGAAACACGACTTTCGATGCGTTTGCTCTTGTAACACGTGCAAACCAATTATACTCCATGTAACTGTATCTTATTACACACACAACGCTTTAGGCTTTCATGAACTGCAACGAATCTTGCACTTATTGTATAATCCTTTTACCATTTTTTCTTTTTGTTTTGTCCTGTAAAATGTTTCAATAAAGCTGATATATATTTTAGGCTAAATTCCGTCAGTCTTTCCCTGCGCGTGTATCCATCACATTTTCGATTCACTTGAGTTCAAACGAGCTGATCTTGAGCTTGCATGGAGCAAAGACACATAGTCTAATTAAACCGAGCTGTATTTTAGGCCCTTTTAGAAAGTTCTTGGATTATTTGGTCAGCCTGACATGTGCTTGGCCAAATTTCTGATTCTTTACTTTTGCTTTTTATTTACTATAATTGTTAAACCTATTTAGATTACATCATAAAGTGTCACCTATGTGTTAAGCGCCAATACATAATAGCGCACGTGGTCTACAAATACGGACAAGGTAGATACTGCTGCACATTGAGTATTTTTGATAAATTAGGTCAATTTCATGGTAATATTTCTACTTTTCCTTAATGTTTGGGTGCTTATTATTAAGCATCTATTCATTTGTTGCATAACTACTTTGTCTTAAAGGATCTCAGTGCATTTTCCTGCACTAACTGTCAGGCTATGAATTTCTGTTATTCTCTAAAATAGTTTCCAGCGAATATTCAGTAACATACAGTAAACAACCCTATAATGTTTGTTTAGAATCTTAGTTGAAAAGAAATCAATAATTGCCTTTATTTTAATGTTCTGCTTAAAAGTGTACACTTGAGAGAGGATCAGATTTTTTTCTGTGTAACCATTTTACTGGTTTCTGTTCGGTTATGTAGTCGTAATTACAGAGCTTTTACTTATTTGAAGTAAAGGGATTACAGTTATTTAAAATATATAATATAACATTTGGATCACAGATCTAAATCTTAAGTCAAGACATAAACAGAAAAATGTATAATTCATAACATTTAATGTAACGTATAACAGTCCTGTGAGCACCTTTTGTATTTTACTGGATTTTAAGCGCACTGCTTCAATATCAACATACTATAAATATTTCAAGAGGATGATATGAAGTTTATTTATATCCTGTTAAGTAGTTAAGTTTAAAATAATACTTCTTATTTTACTAGTTGTTTTGTTTATAAAGTCACGGGTTTAAAGTAAACACAGCTTTTAAATAAATGCAGTAAAAATGAAAAATGTAGCGGCGCTCAGTATAAGAGAAAATCCAGGAAAGTAAAATGCCTTTAAAAGCACACGCGTGTGCATATATGTAGGCACTTGCTACCACCGTATATTATATTAAATTATAAGAGAAGCGGGATTCTTGTTAACGCTCTGAATGAAACAGATGTAACATGGAGGGAGGAACATTATTAGTCTAAGATCAGAGGGGGGAATGATCACTGCTTCAGACCAGTCTTGGTTTGAACGTTGCTTCATTTCACGTGTTTCACAGCCGTGTCTTGCCCGTGGAAGGCAGCTGAAAATCTTTTACATCCTGAGGCTGCTCCTTTCCATGTGGTCATCCAGGGTTGCCAACATCTCAAGACGCCATATAAACAAATGAAACGACTGGGCCCGAGTCTGTGGAAATGCAACAAAGTGGTATTTTTAGAGTGCGGTAAACAGATCAGATTGACACAGAGCTGCCTCGTCACACAAACACAAAGCAGACTCGGGCTGCCGCACTTGTGCCCTTACTCTTCTTTCTCTGCATGGTTTTTGGTCACGAATCAAATGCAGCATCCTACAGATTACACATCTGTAGAAGCTCCTTATTAGGACCCCGGCATCACGTGACCTTTGATTGTCACGTGCAGTCACACCTTGTATCTTAATACAAGATATGAGAAAAGCTTTTTCCTCTCACGTCACCGTTTGTCATTTTAAACACATGACAGCACACTCTTTTCTTTCTCTTGGCCCTTAATGAAATAAAACCTGTTCTCACTTAACCTAAATGTAATTTATGCAGAGTAAAGAATCTGCTATCACACTGCAGAGAAAAATGAATGACCTGGCTGCAGTTGCACAACAAACCCTTTCACAATCTTCATCATTTCTGTGTAAGTGAGCGTGAGAGTCAGTGTGAGGAAAACACAATGGGAGAGTGGCCGACTGAGTCATCCTGGTCTTTCTGAAGTGGGCTCCTTCTTGGCAACACAGCAAAAGCAAACAAGCATCTGCAGCCACATATCAAAAAGAAGAATATCTCTGACTAGACAGAAAAGTCATTTTTTTAAAAATATATATATATATATATATATATATTGTCACACAAAAGTGGCAAAACTGACCCTGCAGCTGCTGGATTTTCCCAAACAGGATTTTTCCAGCGGCCTCATATTTCAATATAGTGGTGAACAGTGCCATCTAGTGGTTACTGCCATAGAACAGAGACGTTTTTACAGAAACTCAGGTGACCAACTTTACACAATTCAGCCGCAACATTAAAAACAACTACCTCGACGTTGTGTAAACTACCTCCACGCACGTTGAATGTCTCTGATCGGGCTGGAGGTGCGCTGTGGTGTCAGGAACCATGTTTGGTGGTTGCTCCTTTGGGTCCTTTGGGACAGCAGAGTGGGACTTCCGTGGGAATGAACGTAGGATGCTTGTTCCTGCAACGGATTGATTGGAGTGGGGTTTGAGGGAGCTCAGTCAACATTTTGGTCTGTTTGTCATGTTCAGTGGAGGTCTTGGGCAGTTTTTGTGGTTTGGAATCGCATCTCCAAAGCAAGAACATTTCATTCTTAATCAGATGTGTATTTATATAAAAAGCAGCTTGCCTACCAGATCTAGGTGTTTGTTTGTTTTGTTTTGTGTGGGGTTTTTTTTAAACTTACCAGTACTTGCATCAATTTACTGATCATTACTACATTTTTTGACAAAGCATCTCTTAAAGCATTTTAACATTATAGCCTTCAAAGTAGCAAGTAGCAAACAAGTCTAACTAACAACAATATTTCACGATTGCAAAAGGAACACGTTTTAATCAGAGTATAGCATAGCATTGAGTCAGTTAACTTTGCAGATTATTGATCTGGTCAGTGAAGTAAGAGAGAGTGTTAATCAGTTAATCTGCTGTTATGATGTTCATGAAATTCACCAAACAGGAATGGGGTTACCGGTGGAGACCAATGATATTATTCCCTCTTTATCTTTTCTAACTTTTTTCCCCAGTAGTTTTGCATTTGGATAGGCTCAGTATCACTACTGGTAGCCTGAGGCGATACCTGAACTTGCAGAGGTTGCACAGATAGTCCATCTCCTTCAGGATGGCACATCAATACCTGCCATTACCATAAGTTCTGCTGTGTTTCACAGCACAGTTTCAAGAGCATGGAGGAGATTCCAGGAGACACACAGTTACTCTAGGGAGCTGGACAGGGCGATAGAAGGTCCGCAATCCATCAGCCAGTATCTGCTCCTTTGTGGAAGGAGGAATGGAAAGTTCATAGCCACAGCCCTACAAAATAGCCTCCAGAACCAGAAGAATATGCAGCAGCATCTTGACTGCCATTAGGTATTGGTACACTGGTGTAGTGAGCCCTGGGTTCAGTGATTAGCCTCATGTGGTGAGGGTATGCAGGCAGTTCCTGGAAGATGAAGGTGAGGATACTACTGACTGGCACCCATGCTCACCTGACCTAAATCCAATAGAATCATCTGGCATCTCAGACTGTCCAGCTCAGAGATGCCCTGGTCCAGATCTGAGAGGAGATCTCCCAGGGCACCAACACATTCCCTGATTTTGTAAGGCACGCATACAAGGACATGGGGGCCGCGTACCATTTTGACTAGCTGCAATGAACTTTCTGCAAAACTGACTAACCTGCCGTATCATTTTTTCACTTTGATTTTCAGTCCTCTGTAGGTCGGTCATTTCCATCAAGATCTGATGTGATTTCAAAGTGTTCCTTTCAGTTTTTGAGCAGTATATTTAACTGTTTTGTGTAACTTTTCCCTGGACTAGTCGCCCACTGAGGTGTGCAGAGATCTTGAACTAGATGATTGTAGGTTTAGCAATGTTCTAAAACTAGTGTAAATTCAAAGCACAGCAGCAGACACGTGCTATTTTCTTCATAACACATTGTATTATCTGTGCTCTGAGTTTTATGGAGGTGTTAATTGCAGATGAGGATTTGTTAAAGTAAAACAAGATACATATACTTGAAGACAACAAGTCAAAGCAGTTTGAATGAAATTCCACTATCAACTGCACATGATGAAAACAGATGCAGTTTCACAAATATTTAGTTGCTACAACTACAGTGCTTGGCCTGAAAGGGACACTTACTGACAGGTTTGGGAAACCCAAGAGCAGGGGTGTTAAACATAAGTCCCGGGGGCCAGAATCAGCCTGACAAACACTACAATCTTGGGCCTGCTGGACGGTTTTGAAAATGTGAAGGGGGGCATACATTTTAGACTTGACTGCATTTTCACAAGTTTTACAGCTTTTCCTACTGATAAAGACCTCCTGCATGATCATTCATACTATACCAAAGTAAATAGGTAATAGATGGACATTGAGGACAAATCTCTAATTTTTTGCAGTGGGTTTACCATAAAACAACATTCTCTCAGTTAACAAAACACATTCATTTTATGATTGCAGGGCATTCTGTGCAATGAGCTAACAGAACAGATTTATTTCGTAAAGTTTTAGCCCAAAGCAACATTTTTTTTCATGTAGAAAAAATGAGATGTATTGCTGAAATTACACTTCTTTTTTATATTAAAATATCTCAATGTCATCAGAAGGGGAAGTTTCTTAAGAACAAAGTGGGATGTATATGGCTCACAGTGTAAAAAGAGTTTGGCATCCCTAACCGAGAGAATCAGAAACCAATATCTGAGCAAACTAAAATACCAAAATTAAAGAAGAAATCCAGAACTGACCGATCTATTTGGTCTAGTAATGCTGCTAACGGTTCCCTGACTGTTCTTTTAGCACCACAGTGAGGTTGGCATTTTTGCTTGAAATGAAAGTTCCAACTTTGAAGGGACCGCCATTAAATTAGATGCAGATCTTTATTCTCTACAGGTAAACAGACCCCACCAAACTAAATGTGTGTTGTGTGGGATATGATACCAGTGTGGATATAGCTAACGTTTAAGAAAGCACAGGCACACAGAAACTGCACAGATCATATCTGATCATATCTGTTATTTAAGGATCAACGATCTTTTAATGGCTTCTGATGCAGGAAATGGTTCTGTATTCATTTTACTTGACCTCAGTGTAACCTTTGATAATGCTTACCATAATATTTTACTGAAAAGGCTTACATCTTTGGCTCGTATCATTGGCTCTACATTGGACTGCTTTGCCTTATGTTTATCTGACAGGACTTTTTCTCTTAGGGAGAGCAAGTTCTTTTCTGCCACTGCCTCTCTAACCCGTGGGGCTCCGCAAGGCTCAATCCCGGGTCCATTATTTATTTATTTATTCTATATTCTTTCCTTGGCTGGTATCACTTAATCTTTTATAAAATTTGGATAGTTGTGTTCTCTTAATGTTGATAAGCTACTACTCTTTTCTGTCTTCTGTTTTCTCTCAGCTGTTAGTTACAGCAGATGTCTGCCCCTCCCTGAACCTGCTTCTGCTGGAAGCCTCTTCCTCGCTCATCATAGGGGTATTCTGACCATTGAGGCTTTCTCTCTAATAATGTAGGGTCTTCATCTTAAAGGATTAAGCATCTTGGCTGTGGCTCACGAAGCAGAGCAGACCATCTAGTAATAGGAATGGTTGCTGGTTCAATCCCTGGCTGTGCCAGTCTATGTGCCAAAGTGTCTTAGGGCAAGATACTGAACGCTGAAATGCCCCCAAAGGGCTTCATTTAAATGTGAATGTCAGCCAAAAGGAACTAGAAAAAAGTGCCCATGTGAATGGGTTAACGAGGCTTTGAATGCTCAGGCAGAGAAGAAAATGTGCTCTATGAGGAATGGTCTATTTATTTTGGGTAACCATTGTTAATAACAATAGCACTGAATTTAATTACATTGATTAGTGTACACTGTCACCAGTAGTTTAGTGGTGTCTGACTGACTGGCATACTTTTCCAACACTTTTAAATATCTCACAAGAAAAAAACATCATAACAGAGACTGTGGTGTAATAGATACTGTGGTTATCATCCTCATAGGCAGCTTTCAGTCAAGCATAACCGGACCATGTGGCAACATGTCTGTAGGCTGGGCTAGGCTCGTACTTTGGAAGTGGGCGTAAAGCTGTGTGTGTGTATTTGTTTCAATGTTACCACAGGTGTTGCTCTTCTCTTTTGCTTCACTTCAAGAACTCCTAGAACAGAAATGGGCTTCAGCCAGGAACACTGCTCCCATACAGGACACAGGCTGTTTTTGCTCCCTATGTCATCAGCTTCTGAGGTCAGAGCTTGGACACCATGCTGCTGCCACCAGTTACGCACCTTAAAACAGGACATCTCTTCTTGCCGCTGGTTATGCAGAGGTCAATCAGTTCTACAGAGCCTACAAACATATCTGACTAGTTTAAAAAACACCCTGCAGGTGCAGACTTCTTGGCATCATAGAAACATTTTTGTTCTGTGGCTCTTATCTGACAGGCAGGTTAAACTACTTTGCTGCTAACCTTTCTAAAGCAGAAACTCTTGTGCTGATGTTGGGTGTGGGCAGCAAGACTGGCGGCCTGCTGAAGTAGACGTACGTGAAGTTAATGAAGAGTTGGGTGCACTTGAGGGCTTTTAATGAATCTCACCAAGCAGATAGGAAAGATCTGGTAAGAGGGGGCATAGAATAGCTTTGACTCTAAGGTCTTGAATTGACCGGATCAGCTGCCATTAGATCGGTAATGGTTAAAGGACTATACTGCACGCAGTGTGAAGAGAGGCGCATTTACACTCACTAACCAGACATGTTTCTTTCTTTAAAGAAAAACGAATGGGAGTTCGTTGTTGGTTTTCAATGCACCACTAGGGGGCAGTGTTTAGCAGCAACGTGTTTTATTTCTGCTTAGTTTAAACAGATTTTATTGGTTTGAGTAATTATCAGCGTTGTAATTATTTACCTACTAAGATAAATAACACATCGCTATGGTAACCAATAGGGGTGATTTTGTAGATACTTCTTGTTTAAAAATAACAGCATAATTAAAGCAGC